GTTTACAGCCGTGGTCAACAAGCAACGGATCCTCATGGGTGGGTAAACGGCATCACCAGCTCTCCCGGCTGGCACAAGAAGCGCATGGAAAATATGTCTGCCCACATGGCCAGAAGTGCTCAGCCGGGCGCTCCTGACTTGGTCAGCGACGAATGGACGAGACAGAGCGCCTATGCCGGTGTTGTTGGCGACCCTGAGTGGGCTTACATCGGTCCTGGAAAGGTTCCAGAGCTCATTGCGCATTACTTGAAGCTCGATGCCGATAATAGAGCAAAACTCCGAGAGCGTGTCTCCGACATCGTCAAAGACAAATCAACGTCGGAGAAGCTCACGCCATGGTACCCAGTCTGGTGCAAGAGGCCAGCTTTCAGCGACACCTACCTCCAGACGTTCAACATGCCCCACGTCCATCTCGTGGATACGGAGGGCCATGGAGTCGATAAAGCAACCCCAAATGGCCTGGTTGTTCAAGGATTTGAGTACAAGCTGGATGTTCTTGTGCTCGCAACGGGATACGTATCGCCATCGACGGCTGTAGATCCCGCTGCCCGGGCCGGAGTTGAGGTCTACGGACGTAAGGGGCGGCCGATGGCGGAGAAGTGGGAAGCTCAGGGCCTGACTACTCTTCACGGGGTAGCATCGAACGGGTTTCCCAACTTATTCTGGATTGGTGCGTCGCAAGGTCCGTCCGCCGCAAATCTGGGCCACGTCATAGATGCTCAGAGCCGGCACATTGCGCACATCATCGCGCAAGCGCACCACAGAGCCGATACTGCTGCTTCCGACCCCAGCAAGTTCCGCGCCTGCGTTGTCGAGGTTGACATTGATGCTGAAGACGCCTGGAGCTTGCGGGTCATGCAAGGTGCAACTCGTCTCGCGGTGACGTCCGTCTGCACGCCAGGATACTTGAATAACGAAGGTCAAGGGCTGCGGATGACACTTGGCTTGGAGAAAGCGCCTAGTCCCGACAATATGGCGAAGGCGGCGCGAGCTGCTCCATGGAGTGCGGGGATGCCATCCTATCTGCACGAAATAGAGGCTTTTCAGGCTGAAGGTGAGCTGCGTGGGTTCACAGTCTCAGCTACATAAACACATTGGCGAGTCGTACGGCTCTCCATCCGTAAAGTTACAACAACAAGAATAGTTCCGAATGAGAGAAAGCCAAATATTGCATCATCTAGAGCCATCGCAAACGGTGGTGCACATTCTGGAAGTCGACTTTGTGATGGATGCGGCCATAATTCGAAGGTCTTATTACACCTGCTCATCTCCACGGGTTTTACATCTCTGCGGGAAATCTTAAATTTGGAGTTCAGGTTTTGTGAGCCTTGGCATTTATTAGGTCCTCATCTTGCTCACGCCTTTTCGTATACAGCCGACACTCTGCAAACCCCGATGTCAGCCGCTAAAATACTGCGTACCCAAGGCCCATGTCACATTTGGACGCCATGTAAGCGACAAGCATTCCAAGTCGCGCCCTTGTGATCCGACCAAACCAATTAAAGAGAAGTTATAGCTGTCTGTATCTTCTAACCTTGTTTCATGTTATGATTTCTACCAACGATCTGACTCAGAGCTAGGATGCAACAGGACGGTTGAGTTGTCACTTGAACAGGGCATCAATACCGCGCGCCTTTCCAAAATTGTGGCATCCATATAACATCCCTCCAGCCGGGATGCAGACACGCATCAAATCTCAAAGAGGGTTTCTGTCGTTTTACCTAGCTGTCCCATTGTCGTTCCATTTCTGCGATAATGATTCTCATCATTGGCGCCGGCATGGCCGGCGTAACCCTCGCACGCTACCTCCACTCCCACAACATCCCCTTCCGCATATTCGACCAGCAAGCTCAATTCAAAAATCAGGGCTTTGGTCTTACTCTCCGCTCAGACACTACCGCAAAGCTCCTTCCGCTTCTCGGCCTCGAAGAAGACGACTTTGCGACTCGCGTGGCTGTGGATCGCAAAACTGGCAAGACGAACACCTTCCTGGTTAACTTGAAGACGGGCGAGAGATTTGCGGCGGCGAGTTTCAAAGAAGGAGCCAGCACGCGGGACTTCAGGACAAATAGAGAGAGGCTGAGAGACGTCATCATGGGAGATGTGGCGATGAGGGTGGAGTATGGGTGTAAGCTGCGATCGTTCAGTTCTACAACCTGCGGCGTGCGCGCGGAGTTTGAGAATGGGATGGTGGTTGAAGGTAGTGTGCTGGTCGCCGCTGATGGCGTGCACTCACTCATCCGCTCACGCCTGCTCCCGCATTGTGTCCCGCAGGACTGGGATGGTGTCATGGTGAATGGCACATGCCGCTTCTCACTTGCAGAGTGGGACGCGAAGATCAGACCGCACATCCAGGATGCGGCGGTGTACCCCGGATTCGGGGAGCAGAAGGTTCTCGCCCTCACCATTTATGATGCCAACTGGGACCCCGAGATCGGTTACGTCGATGTCTCTTGGGGTTTATCCAGAAGGAGAAAGGAAGGTCACGATCCACTATTTGTGAGATACGGGGACCGGACGTTCGACAAGGGGAGTGCGCCAGAAGCGTTCTGGGACGAAATTGAGGCGTTGCCGCCAAAGGATCTGGTGGAACCGTTCAGAACTGTCTATGAAAACGTGCGAGCCCGAGGCGATAGGACGATTCAGCATCAGCTTGTCAGTCTGCTAATTCCAAAAGACGATCTGCTCACCAAGCTTCAGTCGGACAAGGTTGTTTTCATTGGCGATGCGGTGCATGATTGGTCCAATCACGCAGGGACGGCAGCAAACGCGGCGATCCAGGATGCGCTAGCGTTAGGAGAGGTGCTGAAGGGGAAGAGGGGACTGGAGGAGTACTACGAAGGAAGATATCCGAGCTGGTTGGGAAGTTACGAAAAGAACGGAGAGGATTTTCAGACGCTGCATCGGCCGATGAGTGAATGGAGGGCACTGCTAGATGCGCAAAAGGTTGGTCGCGATGACGTGGAGTTGAAAAAGGCTACTGCTCCTACTGCTCAGCTATAGAGTCAGATACGCATATGCCTTTTGGTAGGCTTCAGTACAGTGTATTGGCTTATATTGTTGTATTTGCGTAATGAGAGAATGAGCGAGACGCGAGGCGACTATTCCGAGATGATGTAACGATTTCCTCACGTCGTGTCGGCTGAAGAACAAATTCAAAGCAAAGTGCAAAGGCAATTCCCATTCCAAAACTTCTCTGTGGTCGAGACGCCAATGAATTCCAGCGAATCAATACTTGGCCGCGATGAAGCGATTCTCCCAGATGAGGCCAATGCGCAAGCAAATTCGGGGTATGTTTTTGGAAACGATATCCATGTCCCAGTGTCATGAGAATGTAGTGATGTAATTCTTTCTTTGTGGGCTCGTTCGAGGTAAGTTGTCGTGATGTTGGAAGACAGGATCTGCTGGCAAGAAAACAAATCAGTAACGATACCATAGGCAGATTCAGATATGGACTCACCAAATGTGTGTGTAGATGTTGTTCATAGTGTGTCAAACCTTTTGTGTATGTTTCAAGGTGAACAGTGCATGTTCAAGAAGTTGTCTTGGCACGCTTCTGCTTTCTCGACGATGAATTGCAATTCGAACTGCGTCGCCCTTCGTGTCAGTTGAAATCTTTTGAGGAGAGATGGAGATGGAACGTACTCAGAGTCAGAATCGTCACGCTTTCGCTTGGAAGGCTTGAACCCGCCGCTCTTCTGGGCGCCCTGCGACTTGAATGACGACGAGTTTCTCTTCTTCTTGAAGATCTTGCTCCTCGGCTTGTAGGGAATTGGAGTGGCTTTCTTCTTAGGGCCGGTCTGCTGAGGTGCGACGCCGTTGTCCTTGGGAGTGGAAGCCTTCTTTGCGACAGGTGACGCTTGCTCCGTTTGGTGATGTTCATCGGTAATTCCTACCTTGTCTGTATTGCTGTCGGCACCTCCCTCATCACCGGAGTCAATGATGATGATGACGGGATTCTCCTGCCTCTGAGGCCGAGCAGGTCGAGCGTTGTCTCCAAGATAGACATTGCCCTGGAGGTCCCAAATCCGCATGTTGTTGAAAAAGAAGTCGCGATACTCCTCCGGAACGACGTCAGGCTTGTGAGCAAACTCGATCGCTATGTTCCTTCCGATCGAGGGCGGTCCTTCCTTGGCCCACAGGTTGAGCTCCGCGGACGAGATTTCCATCTGCAGGATGAGGAGTCTGTAGATACGCAGCAGGTCGATCTTCTCAACGTGAAAGGTAAGCTTGTCGAAGCAAAAGTCCTTGAGGGTCTGCTGGTCGGTGGGCAGGCGCGCCGCGCGGGCGTTGTGGTAGAGGTTCTCGGCGGTGTTCTTGCAGGCGCGGAGGCGGGCTTGGAGTCTGACTTCGGGGTTTGCGGAGACGAGGCCGATGTCGAAGGTGGGAGATCGGGGGTTGGACTTGCGCTTTTGCGCGGCTGAGGGAGGCATGTTGGCGGTGAGATCTGAGTTCTGTTGTGAATGTGTTAGATGGCAGAGGCATTTCGTGGATATTGGGAGCAGAAAGATCAGACCTGTGGAGTGAAGCCAAGAACTTGTGAGGATGAGAAAATGAGTTGTAACTTTGTAAGAAGAGCAGCAGCAGATATCCGTTGTAATGTGAAGCGTGTGGAGAGATGGATATTTTGAGGCAGTCGCACAGTGAAATGCCTCCTTCCCTCCTGAATGGTGAGATATTGGACGGCAAGAGCCCAAAAAAAACCAAAGAGAAATTTTCAGCGCAAATATTTTCACCACGGATATTTTTGGATAGCGCGCCTGGCAAGCTACAGTGTGTTATGCTATTCTATTGAGCGGCCTTGCTATATCAAGGGCGTTGGCATGTCTCTTCTACTCCATCAAGCAGCCCTTTTCCCTCAAGGAAACCACAAGTGAGCCACCCAAATATCAAAACAGCCATCTGATCTCCGTATCCCTGATTTCCATCTGTAAGAGGCCCCAGCCCTGAGAAAACATGTCAGTAAAGCGCAGCCTTGTCGTACTGGAAAGTCAAGCTTACTAGCGATCGTTCCACAGATGCATGCATTCCTTGCGGGCAACAGCCATTTTGAGGATGCCTTGAACCACCTTGTTCATCGGCGTTCCGTCATTCTCCTTGGTCGCATTCTGTTCAAACCACCGGAGTTCCTTCACATCCAGAAAGTGCTGGCGGAGATCCAACTGCATGCCCATTCGCTTGAAAAGAATATTGTCCTTCATCCAGATGTCCAGCTCGCGAGTGCTGATGTCATCGTAGACGAGAGCATGCTTGTACAGAGTAACAAGCATCCTCTTGCCTTGATCGTTGAAATCATTGAAGCGATAGTCGGACAGGGTCTTCTGGTGGGTCGGAATCTGGTTGATGATGATACTCTTGAAGAGAATGTCGGCAGTGGTTCGGGGCAAATCCACACAGATCGTGGAATGCGTAGCATTTACGCCGTCAATCGTGGCGCTGTACTGGCATGCGACGCCGCAGATAAGGTCCTTGGAGCACATAGTGCACTTGCGGGTGGTGTTTTCTGACCACAGATGATGCACTTGTTCTTAGGCTCTGCGTCCGAGAAAGGGTCATTGTTGGAATTGCTGTTGTTGTTGGCCATTGTGTTGTTGTCTGCTGTGTTGCTCAAACTTTTGTGTAATGACTTTAAATGTTTCTTTCCTTTTAGTGAAAGATGGAAAGGCATGCTTGTGAACGGGAGGAAATTTGAGATGAGAAGCTTTGCGACAGGGCTTCTTAAGACTTAGACCTTTGTATTTAGCGAGGTGAGTTTGGCGGGTATTGCCTGAGGGGGAAATTCAAGGTGACTTTTCAGGTGATGGTAAAGTGGAAGTCGGTAGGTGATATTCAAATAGGAAGTAACTCTAGGCCAATCTTTCCTTCTGGGCTGTGGTAGGGCAGCCGGCAGATTACACGGCAGTGGAAGGGTCCCAAGTTGGCTAGGTACTTCAATCGAGGGACTGGGGCTTCCAGTCACATCCAAAGAATGGGTCCTTTCGCAATGAAATTACTGTCACTCCCATTTCTGTCTACCCAAGCAATATTACCTATGCGATGTTCACACTGGAGGCAGCTCAGAAGGCCTGCAATCCTAAAGTCCTTCTAGGGGAGCCACCTCTCTCGTTCCACCTCCCTATGACTAATACCTCCCTTTATCAAAGGCTATAGCTTTCCGCCCCAAAGTGGCAATCAAACAATGCTGAAAGCCCAAAGCTCCTGATATACGGCTAGAAATATCAGTTAGTAAAGCAGGTAACTTGAATGGCAGTTTTGTCCACCTTCATGCTCCCTAGGTCTCAGGATCAGCATCCGGTCTGTCGAAGACGACCCTGTTCTCCGCGAACCAGTCACGAATTTCAGGACTGAAATCCTGTGGTCTAGCATGGATCTTGTCGCCAATGGACTCGTACAGCGTGTCCTCCAGCATCCAGACATTGAGTTCCTCGGAAGTCACACTCTGGTTCTTGACGAGGTCATGGTAGAGGGTGAAGAGCTTGACACGGTCGGAGGGCTCGGAGCAGCGACTGAAGCCGTAGTCCTCTCTGGCTTGAGGATGAGTGAGCATCCTGCCGCGTGTCACGTCCTCGACGATGATGTCGGCGGTTGTCTCGTTGCGGTTGTCGCAGAGGCGAATGTGCGCGGTCATCTCCTCGTAAGGCTTGTCGGCAAGGCCAAGGCGCATGTACTTCTCGCAGGACCTGCAGCAGACCCAGTCCTGGCCGCATTTACTACACTTGCGAGAGGTGGGGAGCCTCTTGCAGACGATGCAGATGCCCCAGGTGCCCAATGGGTCCGGCGACTTGTATGGTTCGGCCTCGCAGTCAGGCATCGTCCAAGCCTCGCACGTGCCCGCGCTCCGGATGGCGTCGATCAATCTGAAGAAGTGGTGGGCACCAGGAGGGTGGAATATGAGGGGGTACTCGCCCTCGGGAAGAGACTCGCGGTTGGGAGGGGATGCGCGGTTGGGAGGAGACTCGCGTTCGGGAGAAGGCTCGTTGTCGGGAGGAGAGGCCGACATTGCTGGATGTAAATCGTGTTTGGTTTCCCGGTTTGGCGGGATTCAGAGCAGATCGTTGAATGATCTCTTGCGTTATGCGGCAGAACTTGGAAAGCGTGATAGACGAACGTTCAAACTGAGCCAGAATCTGGAAGTCAGTCGAACATGGAAATCCAGGCTGACCAAGATGAAGTGAAGTCGAAAAGGTGGGGCTCAAGAAATTCGGTACCTAGAAGACGTGAAGTCGTAGAAGGAGGAAGGAACGCACCCGCAGGAAGTAAGGTACGGACAAGAAGGAAAGTACGGGCAGGCCAAGTGGAAAGCGCCATTTCTTGCCTGTGGTAGCACTTGCACTGTCCCGAGCGACCAGAAGTTGAAAATGGGACATGTAGAGGTCTGTCAAAAGAAGAGACCTCAAGATGCGGGACAATCATCGGCACTTAGGTTGATGCTCATAACATCAGCGCTTTGAATTGACTGCCAGCTTCAGCTGAACTCAGTCTATTGTGAAGGTAGGATAGCCGAATCGCCCATTCCCAAAAAATCCGTTTTGCATTTCGTCCGTCCGTATCCTCCCTTGTATCAACTTTTTCCTTGACCCAATTCAGTTTTATCGCAGTTCCAAAATTCAGTTCCTGGCACGTCCACGCCGCCGCACCAGGCCGCAATATGAACCTCAAAACGCAACGACCGTCTCTCGAAATTCAAAGTCTATGTCGTTAGCGGAGATGCCAAATTCTAGTGATCAAAAGGAGCCACTCACTGCAGAACCTTGGTTCGTCCTATGTCTTGGCTCGTTGGCCGATGCTGACTTCTTCTTCATGATGGACCTCGTTAATCGCTTCCGGGCTCGTCGTGATGTGTGTTCTTTGCTGCCAGAAAGGCCCCTCATTACTTTGTCACTCTCACTGACGCTTCTTTTGCTTGCGAGCGATTATGTCCTTGAAAATGGCCCGCGCGGTCTTGCTGAGTCCTTCACTCCATAATCGAGTGTCCTTGAGCCACATGAGATCCTCGAGGCTGACCAGCTTTGGGGAGGAGTGAAAGAGCATAGCGATACGCTCGAGCAACTTCCCCTCCTTCACCCAGAGATCCAATTCGTGTGCTGTGACGTCCATGGTTCCGATGATTACCACATACATTTTGAGAAACTTCCTGTCGTTGGCAGATGAATCAAACCAGTGGAAATGGTAGTCATTGATGGTGTCGATATCGGAAGGAACTTTGTTGCTCAAAACATCCTTGTAGAGAGTCTTGGCGGTTCGCAAAACCACCGAGGTGTCGATCTTGCTGACACAGATAGTGAAGTGTCTGGACTCGACATCGTCGCGAACGGCGACTTCCTGGCAGTTCATGCTGCAGATCAACACATCGTTGCAGAGGGCGCACTTTCGTGTGGTTTCCAGCTCTCCACATATGATGCAGGCTGAGGAAGGCTGATCGTGCTGAACATCGTCGGAGTTAGTGTTGGTACTGGGGTTTGGCGATGGTGTGCGAATTTCGACGTTGGGATACCACAACAGATCCATCAAAGCCTGTTCGGACTCAGTGATGTCGCTTGGGGTTGGCGATGGTATACGAAGCTCATCGCAGGCATTCCAACCACGAAGATCCGCGAAACGTTCAACGTCGCTCACGTCGGACATGTTGATGTTCCGTGGTTGTGCTGGATACTAGTTAGCGAAGTATGTGTGACTTGAGGCGTAACTCCTTTTGTTGCATGTGAAAGTTGGGAGGAGTCGCGGATGGGTTGGATGTGGAGGAGGGAAAGAAGAAGTATGGGTTTGGGTGAGAAGGCCTGATACTGAATATTTATAGACAGAGAAGCTGAGACGGAGGGTTGAGAGTGAGACGGAATTGAGGCAGTAAGGAAGGTAGGAATTGAAGTTGTCTCTTGCCCCTGATTGTCTCATTGATCTCAGAAGGTAGGTGAGATCATGTGAGAAAATTTCAAAATTGATTCAGAAGGAAGGAAACCCTGAGCAACGGCGCTGAGTGGGCCACAAACCCCTACAACTTCAGATAGCAAGGAGCTGCAGGTGCAGCCGTAGTTCTTGTCCGTCAGTTTCTTTCAGATTCTACTAGTATACCAAGTCACAATATCTTGGAAGGTTCATCCATAGGTCCCGGATCTCATACAACAACACACCTCTTCGACCATTTGATTGCAATGAACTTTCTGTCACTATCTTTGAAGCCAACCGTCCTTGGCTCATTCCATCTACTACGCCAGGTGTACCAGTCCGCTGGTTAATGTCCCCATAAGATTCATAAACCACGCATCCTGTTCTTCACGCCGTCTCAATCACGACCGTCCTTGATCCACTCTTCCGCCTCCATTTTGCCTTCCAGCTTCTGCCGCGCAATCACAAACTCAATCGTAGCTCTTGCCGTCGAACTAAGCTCACTCTCCCACAGCGGCGTCTGCTTGAACCACTGCAGGTCCCAATAGCCATGCATGTTCGGGTACGACTGGCACAGCACCGCAATGCGCTCAAACAGCTTACCCTCCTCCCTCCAAAGATGTATCTCGCGAGCGCTGACGTCCATCTGGTCGATCACCTGCCGATAAAATCGCAGCAGGCAGTCCCGGTTTGTGGGGCCACGAATGTCGAAGACGTCGAAGCGGTAGTCCTCGATCACGCGCTGGTACATCTCCGGGAAGTTTTCCGGGCAGTACGGAAGCCATTCCGCGGCGGCAAAGATGTAGAGCAGGCTGGCGGTCGCCTTGGGGTTGAGGACGCACTCCTTGAAGTGGGCGGCGCATGAGGCCAAAGGGCCGGCGAAATGACCGCCGACGAGCACGAAGCTCTTTTGGCATCGCAGGCTGCAGATCCAGAAGTCGTTGCAGAGGGCGCACTTTCGCGAGGTGCGCTTCTTTTGGCAGACGGTGCAAAGGCCGTTGACCTGGTCCTGCTCTGTGGCCTTCTTGTTGGCGGCGGCGGTGTTGTCGGGGCTGGACTTCTGCGAACGGCCTTCGGTATGGGAGCTGCGGTCGTCAGACTTGTCGATGGCCGTATCCTTCAACCGCTGTCGGCCGCTCCAGAGATTAAAATCCTGTTCGATTCTGGCGGTCCAATCAGCGTGCTCACAGCGGTCTCTCTCTTCAGAAGCAAGGGTGTCTTCGTCACTGGTTCCGTCGGCAGGAGTGGTGTTCAGCGCAAGACCTTCAAGATCAGAGCTGCAGTCGTCCGGCTTCTTAATTTCGGTCTGCCCCAGCCGCCTTTTGGCGATAGTTATATTCATGTCTCTTTGGAGACACTCGGCGAATTCCCGGACGACGCTGTCCTCTTCGAGGTCAGTGAGATCATCATCTGACGAGTAAGAGTCAATCGAATCTGAGGCGTAGTATTCTTCTTGTGCGTAGCCGTTCCACCGGTTTTTGATTTCGGGCATCTTGAGGCTAGTTGGTGTGCTTGGTCTAATGGACTGGGGTGTTTGGAAAGGAGGACGGGAGGGCCCGAAGGAAGATAATTGTGTAGGAATAGAAAGGGCAGGAGGGGGCAAGGGGAATGGTCCAGTATTTATGTTAGTAGTCAGTACAGTGACGTTGGATGGGTGTGAGAGGTGATTTACTCAAAAGTGATCCTAACGTCCCACACCTACTTCCAGACCACCCCCACATCTAGACTACCCTAAAATACCTTATCGAAAATACACACCACTACTTCTAAACTTAAATAACTTCACTATTTTTAACTTAATTATTATTAGACTTTCTATAAAGTATAATAACTATATAATAGTTAATTATATTAAAGATAAAGTTTCTTAAGTATTTAAAGCTATTATAATTAATACTAGCTTATAAAAAACTTTATTATAGTATAATATACTAAAAACTACTCTATTATATTAAATTTAAAAGGTTTAGCTATAAGATATTACTTTTTCTAATCTATAAAAGCTTTCTCTAACTTAGGAAAACTATCTAGCTAAATAAGTTTAAATTTAAACTACTCTAAGTTTATTTCTAATTTATTAATAATTTAAGGATTTTACTAAATATATTTTATAGGTTTATAGAAATTCCTAACTTCTTAGAAAGAACTAAATATAAGCTTTTATTAAGAGAAACTTATTTATAAAAATCTAAAGAAATAGAGTAATTAATTCTTAATATATTAATAAAGTTTTAATTAATATAATTAAGTAATAGTTTAAATACCTCACTATACTTAAGATTATAGCTATTAAAACTTCTAATTAATATAATATAGATAAGATTAATATTTTAGAAAGTAGAAGATTAAATAAGCTTATTCTTAGATTATTAGAAACTTATTCTATTTATAAGAAATAGTTTAGATTATATATTTAAATATCTCTAATTAAGTATATCTCTATAATTAATAAAATATTACTTCTATTTATTATATATAAAAGTAAAAATATTTAGTAATAATAGTTCTTTTTAGATTTAATATTATATAAATCTTAGAAGTTTATAGTTATAGAAAATAAGTAAACTTTAGATTTTATAACTATTAAGTAGTTAATAGAGGTTTTTATCTTTTTAACTTAACTAGAGGACCTCTTAGAAATTAGATTATTAATTTTAGATAGTTATAAAAGCTATAAAACTACTACTTTTATATATATATACTTTAAGAATAAAATATACTTATTATTCTTATTAGTATATATATTATATATCTTTTAGTTACTTAATTAGTTAGTTTTTAAGCTTTTTAAAATAGTATATAAAAAGGAGTTTAAATTACTAACTAAATAAGATATTAATATAGTTATAAGTAAGAGAAATTTTATTATATATTATAGTAAAATATATAAAGTAACCTTAATAAATAAGAATATTATTAATAGCTAGAAATAGATTAGTTTATAGCTTATTAATATAGCTAAACCCCTTATAAACCTTCTACTACTTAAGAATACTTTAACCTTTATTAAACTAACTAATTAAGTTTATAAAAAGCTCTCTAATAGTAAAAAAAGTAAAAAATAAATAGTAGATATATTAGTAATCCTTTAGTTAACTTTTAAGAAAAGGGATAAGTTTTAAAATTAATTTAACCTATTTAATAAACTAAATAATAATAAGTATATATAGTACTTACTTTTTTAGAAAATTTAGAAGGGTTTAATAAAAAAATATACTAATTAATAGTAACTTAGTAAAAAATTAAAGTATTATAAATAGAAATTAATACTAATAAAGCTAGAAAATAAAAGAAAGTTAAAATAAACCTAAATTTAAAGTTTACTAATATTAAAACTATTTAGAGAGCTTAAATTAAAATAAGTAAACTTAAAAGTAGTATAGATAAATCTAATAAATCTAAAAACCTTAGTAATAGTAAAAGTTATATTATTATAGTATTATAATATATATAAATATTAGTTAAAGTTAATATATATAAATGTGAGGGTATTAAAAGTGGGTGGTCTGGATGTGGGGGTGGTCCGGAAGTAGGTGTGGGACGTTATTCACTGTGAGAAGAGCATATGTATGGTGGTTGAGTCACTTCGCAAGACATAGGACGATAGCAAGGAATGACAGAGACGTATGATGTAGATATCGGCCTTTAGAAGCTATGCTAGCGAGCTTTCCTTTCCACAACCGATTCACTGATACTCCATGCCCACCGTGTACTTATGAAAGGCCACGAAGACCATGACCAAGCAAACCTGGCATGTGTTTCACTACTTCCCCCGACCACATGTCCCAAAACCAGAGCCCGAGTCTACTTCGCCTGCGCCATCGCAGCCTTCTTGCGCGCCACCTTCGCCGCAACCTGCTGCGCCTTGATCTCCTCCGCGAAGCCTCGCAGGTTCGCGCCGGGCATGTACATGATGGGCGCAAAGGGCATGCCGCCCGGGCCCGTGAGGTGGTGGACGCTGGCCTCGCCGCTGTCGTCGGCCGCAACGCCCGCCTCGCCGCGCGCCTCGCGCGCCTTCCGGTTGTCGGCGACCTTGAACAGGCCGTCGCTCATCAGCTTGACCTGCTCGAGCAGGTCGGCCTTGGTGTTGATGGGCTTGGCGCCCGCGGCGTCCATGTAGGCGCGCGTTTCGGAGTTGGCGTAGGTGGGGTCCCAGATGTAGCGGTTGCGGGTGAGCCTGTTCATTGTCAGCGTCAGTGAAGAGGCAGGAAGGTGGTGATGGGGGGGTAGGTAGGTACCAGCGGAAAGTATCCTTGAGCCGATTCATCTCCTCAGGACTACCCCCGCCCGCCTCCAGCGCAGCGCGGAGCTTGTCCTGCACATTCTTCAACAGCACCGCCTTTCCCTCTCCCAGCCAGGCATGAACCTCGCCCGAGGTGACACTGAGAGTAGTCACCATGAGGTGGCGGTACACATCCAGCAGCTGAAACCCGTCCGCCGCGGTGACGGTGCGGTCGAAGCCGAAGTCCGCGACGGTCTGCGGGTGGACCGGGACGATGCCGGTGACGATGTAGGCCTTGAGGATGTCGGCGGTGTTCATGTTCGCGAAGTCGATGCACTTGAGCACCGGGCAGGAGGCGGCGGGGTCGGGGTTGGCGGCGGCGCGCTTCTGCTGCTCGTGGGCTTCGACTTCGGCGATGAGGGCGTCGCCCATGGAGCAGAGGGACTCGAGGCCGGCATCGTGCTCGGCTTGCCACTCGGCTGCGGCTTCGGCGTAGAGGGCCTCGTCGGACTTGGGGACGGAAGACATGGTGGGTTGAGGGGTGGTGTCTGGGTGGTGTTAGTTAGGGTTTGATTGTGGTGGAAGGGGTGCTTACTTGTTTGAAGAAGCTGTGGGTGGAATAAAAAGGTGGGTGTGATGGGTGATGAATGATGGAGGAAACAGACTCGAAAGGGATAGGAGAGAGGAAGAAGAAAAGGAAAAGGAAGAGGGGTTGAGGAGGTGTCGAGGCAAAGTAGACAGAGCCGTGGACGCGTCTGTGCCGGTGGTGGTGGGGCGAGGTCGTAGGTGAGTGCGGCATCTTGCAGCCTCGAGCAATTTGGTCGATACGCGTTTGCAAACGGTGAGCATCGAGGCGGTCAGAAGAGGAGCAAATCTCACTTCCGCGGCAGCCTAACTGCTCTGGTGACCCCTGATGCGGGATCCTTAGTCTTGAGGTTTCGCGATATTCGCCTTGATCAGAGGCAGCCATGATGCAGGTTGGGAGACCGGAGCGGAATGAGCTCACTCACTTGTTACAGACATGGTTTTGTCACGAGGATATAAGGCTTTACTGACGTTATTTCGTTGGCATTTCGTGAGTTTCTTATTTTCAGGTCACCATCGGGCAGGAAGCCCTTCATGAGGCCATGATAACCCAGCTATGTACCATCTCCAGCCATGAGTACCTCCAACCTAGCAATCTTGATGTTCCAAACTCCAATCCATGCGAATATTGTCTTCAATTCCATCACATCCACGAAACGTGACAGCAGATGCTTCCCATGTATCTCACTTAGTGAGAGGCAATAGCAGCAAGAACACCAGCCGCAAACGAGACTCCAACAATAGCCGAGCCAAGAGTAACCCAGCGTCCAGCCTCCTTCATCTACTCCAACACACGTAAGCCAACTATCTCCCTCATCTTCAGTCCAAGGGCTCACTAACCTTCTCCTTCCGCTGCTCCTCCTTCTTGCGCTTCTCCTTCTCCTCCTGCGCCTCAAGGTACTCCTTCTCCGCCGAAGCAATCGCCTCCGCGTACGTCTGGCCAGTGCGCACAATACTCATCACGCCCTCCTTATCCGCGCGCATCGTCTTGACCTCGTCGGGCGGTCCCTGGTCGCTGTACGAGTAGAACATCATGACCTTGTTGTCGACGTGCGGGCGCGTCAGAATGTACGCAATGTACTCGCCCTTCTCGGCCCGCGCGTCCATGTCCTCGCCCATGAGCTTGTCCCAGCCGGCCACCTCCTTGGACACCTCCGCGAGCTGCGAGCCCGCAGGCGCGGCCATGAAGGCCGCTTCGACTGCCGCCTTGTCGGCGTCGCTGTTGAGGTCGTCGAAGATGTGATTGTGCGCGCCGAACCAGGTGAGCGCGGCGGCGAGGTCGGGCTGCGTGGCAGGGGCGCCGGCGTGCTTCTTGTGGAGGCTGTTGAGGCGGGCGAGCATGATGTCCTTCTCGATCCACTTCTGGATGTCGGCGGGGTCGAGGGACAGGGTGTCGACGAGGGCGCGGTAGAGGGCGAGCAGGGCGAATTTGTCCTTGACCTGGTAGGCGCGGTCGAAGCGGAAGGCCTGGGCCATGGTGGGGTCGAGGGGGGGCATGTCGCTGTCGATGGCGGCGCGGAGGGCGTCGGCAGGGGTGGACGAAGAATTAGACTGTTTGTGACCTCGCTCCTTGGCGATGCGGCTCAGCTCCTCGTCGGCGACCTCCTGGACCTTGTTGCGGATTTCGGCGACGCACTCCTCGGCGTCGAAGTTGACCTTGACCATCTTGTCGGAATGGCAATCGCTGTCTGGTCAGACGTGTTAGATGAGTATGTGAGACGGTAGGGGGGTAGTTACCGGATTGCGAGTGAAGAGTTTCCTTTTCTGAGAGATGATCTGTTGTGTGGATGGTGTTGGTAGGTGGAAAATTGAGATTGTGGGCGACTGTCTGGTAGAAAGGCAGGAGGGGAAGGAGCCCAGCTGTCGAATAGACCCTTTCACGGGGCTTCACATGGCAACGATGTTGGTGGTCCGTCGGAAACTCAGTCGATCAGGTTGAGATAGACAAACGGCAAGCGGCCGGACGGCCATGCACAAGGATGCATTGTTTGTCGGGACTGAGATGCAGAACATCATGCCTGATTGAGAAAGGGTGCAAACGAAAAAGTGGCCCAGGGATAGAGTGGCTTGCGGGATGCTTCTCGCAATAGATGGAATGGACATGAACCAATGCCTGTAGTCATTTAATGTGGTTTCTTGTTAATTTCATACCTATCTCTTTGTTTTGCTTGTGTTTGCGGTGTAGCTGCTCTCCTGATTCTCTTCCCCCTTCATGTCCGCGATTATGGGTGACATCGTCAAGCCATGCTGCTTCCCATGCCAAGTCACGGGTAACCCCCATCTCACCCACTGATCCAAGATACACTCGGTGAAAGTCTTAGAATGTAATAGCGTTCGTACTCTGACGAATAGTGGTTACGGCCGACGGCAGTGACAGCAGCAGGAACCGGACGACAGCGACGGGCGACGACGACAGCACGGAAAAACTCAAGCGTCCATGAGTCTGACCTGATTCAGCAGCTTCTTGAATCTCTGCTCCAGATCAGGGGTGGACCAGAGCGAGCGAATCTCTCCCTCCGCATCCTCGTGGTCCCAGATCCACTGATTATCGTTGGCGAAGGCGGCGAGACTGGTGGGAACCTTCTTGTTGCTGGCCAAGGCCGCCTTCACCTGTAGACCCAAGCTCTTCTGGCCCTCTTTCATCCACTTGTGCACAGTCATCTCGGAGATGCCACAAGTCTTGGTAAGCTGGCCGTAGATCTTGAGCAGCTTGAGGCGCTCAAATTCGAAGTGGCAGCGGCGGAAGCCGTAGTCGGTCAGCGTTTGCGGGTCGGTGGGGTCCCGGTTGGCGGCAACATCCTTGAAGAGGATCTCCGTTGTGGTGCCCGCCAGGGACACCGGTTTGTCGCTTCCATTGGTATTGCCGGCAGGGTCGGACGAGGTGTTGCCGTAAACCAAGTCTGCGAGCTCCTTCACCTGGGCGGCGACGTTCAGCCGTCCAGTCTCAATTGCTCCCTTGACGCTTGGATCGTTGAGAATGGTCTGGGTCATCATCTCCTCGTATCGCTTGCGGTCTGGGCATCGGCGCTTCATGTAAGCGTCAATCTCGGAAAATGACATGGACTTTGTAGTCTGGGTGCCGGCAGCAGTCTTTGCGCCAGTGGGGTCAAAGCCGAAGACGCGTTGGTTGAGGACGAGCCAGGAGTAGCAGTGCGCGGCCGTTCTGTTGTTTTTGCTGCGCAGCTCACGCTTGAGATTGCCGATGAAGTTCGGGATGGTGTCGGAGCGCCACTCGTGGAGAGTCTGAGGGGTGATACCGCTGGACTTGAAGAGGATGTCGTACATGTTGTAGAGAGGGACGACATCGGTCAGCGAGCGGCAACGGGCGAAGCCGTAGACGTCGAGGGTCTCTTGGTCCTTGGGGAGCTCATCTCGAGCATTGGCGGCGAAGAGGAGCTCCGCGGGGGTGGGGTTGGTCGCCATGATGATTGATCTGCGATGGTCAGTTACTAGGCAGTTCAAGCTATTGGAAGTTCATCCTACCTTGCGTCGTGGTGGTGTAGTGAGAAGTTTGTATGGGCGGCGTGTGGAAGAGAAATAGGGTTTAGCTTCCGCTAGGAATGGCAAGAAGTCAGAGGTGAGGTTTGCCTTCCCTTCTTCCTTCATAAATATCAGAGCAGGCAAGAGGTACCCAGCTACCTAGGTTGCGTGCCTCCCATATCAAGGTAGGGCAGGTAGCTTGCTTATGTCATTGATGTTCCAAAGGCCGTCCTGTCTTTCTTGGTTTTCCCGCTTTCCGTGCTTGTCTTTATTTCCACCTTGTCCTTGAGTTTAGGTTGTTGTCAATTTATTTTCCCGTTCTCATTTCCAATCCTCATCGCCATCCACCATCTCATCCCCGTCTCTTTACCCGGATCCTTCCCCGTGCTTTCTGTGGTCCTTGTTTCTGTCTCCCGTCTCCCGTCTCCTGTACCCCCGAACTTCATCCCCAGCCCTTCACCCCATCTCCGATTTTCTTCCTCTGTCTTTTCCATCCCTCCTGTTACTTTTATCCTCCTTATTCTTTGTCCATTCTTCGAAATATGCATTAAACATAATTACTTAGCCATCTTACGAATAATAAGTAGCAATAGACCTCTTAGTTCAGCTTTGCATTATTATAATTAACGAAGCCTTCCATTAGTGACCATTGATATGCAAAGTATTCGCTCTGAACAGTCTTCTTCCGACCATTACTCAGTTAAAAGCTACTACTATGCCTTCATTACCAAGTTTACTTCCTCGTCAAAATTGCGTGTTGTCAACAAAGACGCTGCATCCTACACAGTTGATACCTAAGAGTTCATAAAGCAACGAATCCAGATCAACATGAGAGTAAAGTAATCTAATTCCCTCGAAACCTTTTTCGAAATGTGATAGTTCAACAAACGACATTCGGCACGCTTTGGCGAGGAATGTCACGATGCGCGTCTCTTACAAACGGTCATCATCGAAAGTGGATCCACTCCTTACTCATCATTGGCTAGCGCCCAGACCTTCAACCCCCAGCCACCGTCATGGCGCCATCCCTGTTCCGTGAGTCAAAGGACCTACCTGCTACCTACCTTCGTCCCCCTTCAAACGTCGCCCGGGACCTCACCCAATTGGCAAACCCCGTCTCACAAACACAACCAGCAGCGAGCAAGGAAGATGCCGCCGAACGACACCACCCAAGAAGACGCCGCCCAGCAGCGGCCGCTCTTGGCCGACCCTCACGAGGAGTACGGCGCCACCGAAGGCGGCCCGGACCGCGCCGTCCTGCCCCCCGAGGTCATTGCCGACGAGCGCGGCGCCGGCACCTTCACCCGCAACCTCGGCGCCGTCGAGGCCTTCGCCATCGTCATCAGCATCGTCATCGGCAGCGGCGTCTTCACCTCCCCGGGCTCCATCGACACCAACGTCCCCTCCCCCGGCGCCGCCCTCGTCGTCTGGCTCGTCGGCGGCGTGCTCGCCTGGACGGGTGCTGCCTCCATGGCAGAGCTGGGCACCGCCATCCCCGGCGAGGGCGGCGTCCAGCCCTTCCTGCGCTACATCTACGGCGACGTCTTTGGTTTCCTGGCCGCCTGGACCTGGATCGTCGCCGTCATGCCCGCCACCCTCGCCATTTTGTCGATTGTCTTCGTCGAGAGCATCTACTCCGCCGGCGGCGTGACCGACCAGGCCGGCGCCCTTTCGCACAAACTATTTTCCATTCTCATCCTCATCGTCATGAACGGCGCCAACTCCATCAGCACCAAGGCCAGCACCCGCCTCAACAATCTGTTTGTTGTGACAAAGTTCGTCAGCATCGCCGCCGTGGTCGTCGCCGGCCTCGTCGTGGTCATCATCCAGGCGGCGGACCACGACCGCGACATTGGCGGCCGCGACTGGTTCACCAAGCCCTGGTTCGAGAGCCGCAAGACGGTCCTCCCCGGCGGCGAGGAGATCGACTGGACCAAGGTTGGCGCGTGGGACATGCTCGGGTTCTACTCGGCTGCTCTCTACGGCGCCTTGTGGGCGTACTCTGGCTGGGACAAGGTGAGTTCGCCCTTCATCTCACGAACATCCTCATCTAACAATTCAGGCCATCTACGTCACTGCCGAGCTGCAACAGCCCGCCCGCCAGCTCCCTCTCGCCATCAACTCCGCCGTCCCGACAATCATCCTGTGCTTCCTCGCCGCCAACGCAGCCTACTACATCCTGCTGCCCTGGTCCGTCGTCTCCACCACAGACAGCGTCGCCGTCGTAAGTCCCATCCAACCTCCCTGCCCCTCAAACCCTCGCTAACTACTCCCAGACCGCAATCAACCGCCTCCTCGGCCCCGCCTTCGGCATCCTCGCCGCCGTCCTCATCTGCCTCGTCGTCGCCGGCTCCCTCCTCGGCAACTCCTTCGTCGCAGGCCGCATGACCGTCGCCGCCGCCAACTTCAACTGGCTGCCCAAGTTCCTCGGCGCCGTCGGCCGCCTCGGCGTCACCTCCGACGCCCTCGCCTCCCCCGCCGACTCTTCCGACGGCGAGTCCCCGGCCAAGGAAAAGTCCGACGCGCCCCTCAACGCCCTGCTGCTCTCGACCGTCCTCTCGGCGCTGTACATCCTCTTCGGCAACTTCCGCGCCCTGCTCACGTTCAACGGTCTGGGGGAGTACACCTTCTTCTTCCTGACCGTGCTCGGCGCCGTGGTGCTGCGCGTGCGCGAGCCCAAAATGCGACGGCCGTACAAGCCGTTTGTGCTCATCCCAGTTGTGTTTGCGCTTGTGAGCGGGTTTGTCGTTGTGCGGGGTGCTATTTTCGCACCTGTGCAGGCTGTCATTTTGATCGTCCTGTGGCTGGTGGGGCTGGGCTTCTACTGGGCTAGACGGAAGTACGCTGCTAGAAGTGCGAGGACTGAGTAGACAGACTGTCCAGTTCTGCTTGAAGAAATGATTGGACACAGCTTTACATTCTCCAGATTATTCAATCTAGAAAGAAAAATACGTCGATAGACTAGACCCAATCTCACCTACCAATGAATACATGCACCAATTTTACAACTCCTCGCTCTTCTCGCCCAACTTGGTCGGATCATCCAGATCCTTAAACAACTTCACGCCCCAGTTCCTTCCAGGGTTGTTAAGTCGGTGCTTCTTATCCTGCTTGCCAATCTCCTCCAGCTCCTCCTTGCTGAACTCCACCTCCAGCGCCTTCCTGTTGCTCACAATGTGCGAGTCCTTCGTGCTCTTCGGAATCACAATCGTGCCGCGCTGCACGCCCCACGCCAGCACCGCCTGGAACACGCTCACCCCCTTCTTCTCCGCCACACCCTTCCAAAACTCATCGTCAAAAATCGCCGGGATGTCATCGCGGTACGTCGGGTTCGTATTCGCCAGCGGCGAGTACGCAATCACCTCGATCCCCTTCTCCTTGTGCCAGTCCACGAACTCCTGCTGCTGCAGGTACGGGTGCGTCTCGAACTCGTGCGCGTACGGCTTGATCTCCGCCACTTCCAAAATCTTCTCGACGTCCGCTTTCGCGAAGTTGGACAGTCCAATGTGGCGCGTCAGGTTCGCCTTCACGAAGCCCTCGAGCGTCTTCCACGTGTCGACGATGGAGGTCTCGCGGTCCAGCTGGGTCGTGCCGGGCACGAAGGCCACAGGCCAGTGGATGAGGTACAGGTCGAGGTAGTCCACGCCCAGGTCGGCGATGGACTTTGCGATGGCGGCCTCGGCTTCCTTTTGGCGGTGGTCGGTGTTCCAGAGTTTGGAGGTGATCCAGAGGTTCTTGCGCGCGACGCCGGAGGAGGCGATGCCTTTGCCTGTCTCGTCTTCGTTTCCTGGGGGTCACCGTCAGTACTACTCACGGCGCAAGTCATACAGAGACGACGAACTGTAGATCTTGGCGGCGTCGATGTGATCATATCCAACCTCGCCCAGCGCAAACTCGACCGCGTGCGCGACCTTGCCCTTGTCGGATAACCACGTCCCCAGGCCCAGGGCCGGGATCTTGTCCAGGCCGGGGAGGGCAGCTTGGGCCAGCCCGGCAGCGGCGGCGGCGGTGGCTAGCGTTTTGAAGTACACCATCTTTTGAAGCTATTTCGTGCTCTCGCGGTTTGGTGATGAGGTTGTTTGGCCGGTAGGATGTTGGCAGAGGGGGATGCCCGCCTTTTTGACGCTCTTATCATCCCAAAATTGATAATCCTGAACCCCTGCTCAGTCAATCGCATCATCCATCCCCGGCTCCCCGCTGCGGAGGTGCACGGCAAATGACATCATCCACCTCCTCACTTTCACCACACCGCGCCGTGCTGCATTGACACGCGCAACGTCACAGCTCGAGCACGTCAATTCGGGTCAATTGGATACGCTACTTTACTCTGAGCACGCATTGAGCATCGAGATGGGATGTTGGTCAGGAGCTTCAAAGATTCATCTCATCTTTATCGACATGCCGAGGCTTCATCGTGGTCTTGATGAATGCCAGGGATGAAAATGGGCTATGCCGGAAGAGGAAGGTGAAGCTCCGGTGGGGTCCGGTAGGAGGCCATAGCTCCCGGGGAGAGCTCCGCCATCGGCGACCGGGAGGACCCATCTTCGGACAATATTCTCCTTGTCATTGTACTTGGAACCAAAACCAACTACACGTTCAAAGAAAACACTGAACTGTTGCTTGATATTAGAAATATGCTAATTAACAAAACACACGAAACCACCACCACCACCACCACTCTTCAACCGCCCCTTAACTCCGCTCAGAAACACCTTCACGCCGGGTTGATGATCAACTCAATGGCAGTGCAAGAGCTCGGCGGCGTCGTCGCAGCCTTGAACGCGTAAACATGCATGCCCGACCCCGAGTTGCCGTCACCCGTGCTCGCCGGACGCACACAGAACAAATAGTCCACCCCAGCGACATTCATCAGCACCCTCGAGCGCCCGTCGCTCAGCACCGTGTACGAGAACACCTTCATCGCCGCGCTCTGGCTGTTGCTCCAGTACAGGAGGGTGGACGACCCAGTCGTTGAGACGTAGTAGTACGCGTTGTGCGTCACAGAGTACAGGCTCCCGTCGGCGGCCACGATGAAAGTCTCGCGGCTGCCCTGGCGGTAGAAGTTGTCCGTCATGTGCGTCGCGCTGTCGGAGAGGACGTACCCCGAGTTGGCGTTGACGGCGGGGGAGAGGGCGAGGTAGCCGATTGTGCCGGTGGGCGCGTTGGGCGCTACGTTGATTGTGGTGGTTGAGGTGACGGTCTGGATGAGGGTGAGGGTGGAGGTGGCAAGTGTGGTTGTGGCGAAGGCTTCGCCTGTGGTGAGGGTCTGAGTTGTCGTCGCTGAGACGGTGGCGGTTGTGGTCACGGGAGTTGCGAGAAGAGAGCAGGCGGAGGAGACGACGTCAGCTGGAGATGAGGTTAGTATCGTGATATGATGAGTGAGGGGGGTGAGAACGTACCAGGGAAAGAAGCCAACCCAGCCGGCGTAGCATCCCTCCTTGCCCTCCTCTTAGACGCAGCAGTAACCTCAGGCAGAATGACAACATCCACAAAGTTGCCATCCGCGTCCTTGGTCCCGTTGACAAGCTGGTCGTCTCTTGCCCAGAGGCCGCGGCGGATCTTGCTTGAGTGGTCGAGCGGGGTGAGGTCGTCGTGGAGGCAGCTGGTCGTCGGACGAGGCGGCAGAGCGCGTTTGAGCTGCTTCGTGACAGCCACAAGCTGCGTCGTGGTGCTGTACGCCGTCGCCACTGGCGTGACAGTCGCGATGTTGGTTGCGGACGGGACGGTGGCGTAAAGCGTCGCCGTCGCGGTGGTTGTCGGGGTTGTGTAGCCGAGGAGCGATGAGCAGTACGGCTGCAGGGTGGAGGCGACGATGGCGGAGCTGGCAGACGCGACGGGGCAAGGAATGCGCGGCTTGCCTGCGTTTGTGGAGTTGGTGTAGGAGAAGCTGTAGGAGATGGTGTAGTGGTCGCTGCCGCGGTATTGGCCGTTGTTGGTGGCGTAGCTGGCGTCCCAGGATTTGGAGTACTGCGTGCTGTCAGAGAAAGAACCTCAAGCATATCGAGGATGAGACGACAAACTTACCAGAGAGCAGTACTGTCCCTCCGGCACCCCGTTCTTCAGGACGAAGAAGGTGTTGAAGAACTGACATGTCTGGGCGGGCGCGTTCTTGGGCGGGTGGCGGAGATTGTACTCGGACTGCGCCGTGCAGGCTGCCGCGCAGAGCTTCGGGTCGAAGGGGCCGTTGGTGAAGATCTTGGAGCCCATGAAGGTGTTGTAGCCAGCGCAGTCGAGGGGCGCGTTGATGCTGGCGTCGCCGAGGTAGGCCGCAGGGGCGTACCCGGCCTGGTTGTCGGCGCGCTGGGCGACGTAACCGTTGGAACCCGCAATGACGACCTCGAACTGGGCGCGCCACTGGCCGCGGTTGGTGGTGTAGCTCTCGTAGACGGGCCCGCCCCAGAAGACGCACTTGATGACGTTGGTGCTCGCGGGGTTGGGGCAGCTGTCGGCGGGTTCCTGTATCATGTTAGAAGAGATTTGTTTCTCATACAAAGAGGTTGAATGCTTACGACAGTGGGATCGCGCTCAAAGTAGATGTTGAAAGCAACGCAGCCGTTGATGGCATCGCACTTGGCCGCGCACGCCTTGGTGTCGTAGCTGTCGAGCGTGGTGTAGCCCATGTATCCGTACGCACTGCTGGAGGCCTGCAGATTCTTGAAGGTGTTGAAGTAGCCGGCCGGCGTGGGCGCGTTTTTAGCCGCCGCCGCGAGGTCCGCGGAGCTCAGGAAGGCCGCCGCGGTGTCGGGGCTCGGGACGGGGCCGGCGCCGGTGGGCTGCGGGTCGCACGCCCCGCGCACGGCGAGACTCCGCTTGTTGGCTACGGGGGTGGTTGCCTGCGGGAGTGGGCTGGCCATGACCTCGGCGACAATGCTGGCAGCGGCGGCGTTGGCGTCGTAGGGCACGATGGTCTCCGCGGCGGCGCCGATGGGGACGGTGGCGTTGGGCGGGGGAGGAGCATCGTCGATGACTTGCCAGACGAGGTCTTGGGCTTTGGCGAGCGCAGCGAAGGCGCTGTAGAGGGGTGCAGACCTCATTTTGGTAGTGTTCAGAGACCGCTGGACTGTTGCCGAGTATTGGAGCTCAGTCTGAGTAAGGGGTTAGGGAGGAGTGAAGCTTGAGTTGATTGCTGTGTGTCCTTCTTGCCAGACAAGAGATGGCATGTTGCACTTTATACAGATTTATTGATGCCTCTTGGGCCATGCTCAAGTGACCGGTTTCTGCCCTCGTCATCACGTTTGTGGTCTGGATGAGCCTTCTCAGCACTCACCACGGGCTATTTCACGATGCATACAATAGTATCGAAACACAGACTTCATCCCCAGAGCCGATGGGGATTAGATCGCGGAGCTGAACCACAGTATCGGGATAGCCAGCCCATGTGTCCCATAACCTAATTCTCTCTTCTCCCCTGCTAGTCACCAGGTCTGGACCGCTGCCGTCCGATTCTACAACGCTACTGTCGCACAGAAGACTCAATCTGGATTGAGTCGTTGACGAATGTGGGCACCTTCATCACGTGGGCTTGGGGATCTGGAGATGCCGGCCCTTTCCTCACTGCCTAATTTGACAAGCAAATTCAGCCCTGAGCGGAGGAACAGCTGAGAAGCTCCAATCGACCCAGAAAGTCGGGTTTGGGGGTCTGTGATGGGAGGGTCCCGGCTTTTCGCCAAGGTCTGGATCCCGGGATCGGCAGGGGTTGTCGACAAGGGGTAATTGCAGCTGACGATCAATAGTCTAAACAAGCGGTAGGCTCTTGGCTCCTTGGGGATTGTTTACACGAAAAGCTCCGACAAAATCTCCTTTTGCGTGGTAAGCTAAGGCTTTGGGTTTTGTTTGTGGGATCACAGGTGAGGATTGGGTGGAAGATGTGGTCCAAATAGCAGCGGTGAGAGCATTGATGTAGGAAGAGTGCGTCGGCGTCGCCGCTGCTAGCAAGCTTACTATTGTCTTTGGCTTAGTTTTGCTCTCAAGGACCATAGCGCTGAAGAATAGGTTTCATTGACTGTATTTCAACCTTTCACAATTTGCCGATTAAGTCTTTGCTGTCCTAATGGTCCTTTTCCTAACGGCTCACCTTATACTTGGAGTATCAAAAAACTTCACCCTCACTTGATCTACGGCTTACACCCGGAGTGTTCAGCATGCTGCATGATTGTGCAACTCGGTAACTCAACACTGAAAAATGCTGCGGACAGAGACCTCCTCGGCGGCGACATAATAGGGGATTGTGCAAGTTGAAACTTGAATTAAAGTGTGGCGGCAACGCCTCGGAATGCAAGAACGGTCGGGACGTTCATAGTTCCAGCCACACGGTTGAGGCGTCACGTACGCCTCGGTGTTCTGATTCTGTTCTAAATTTCATTTCATTTCCTGGTTGCACTAGTCCAAGTACATTACCCGAACATCATCGCAAAGGCCTCCCTCACATCCAACTGCCGAGACTCACGCCCATCACCAACGCAGAAAAGACAGCCCCGAGCGGTCTAGACCGCGCTGCGCCCGAAGAGGAAACCGACCCCTGCACAGCGGCCATAGCTCCCCGTCCCGCCCCACTCCCCTCCTCCGCCGGCCCGGCCGTACTCTTCACCGTCGCGTTCGTTGCTCCGGCCATCAACACCGCCTTGATACTATCATACGCCGGCTTCGGGTTCATATCCTTATCAAACAAACACGCATCCCCCTGCCCCTGGAACGTCGACGGGATCCAGCTATACTTGTCCGTAAACTCCCACACCACAACCCCGACGCACCCCTTCGCGTCAACGCACGTCTTCACCACGCTTGCATAGTCCTTCGCCTGCTGCTGCACCGCCGCATCGTCCGCCGGCACCTTGCCATGCCGGATATCCAGCTCCGTCAGCGCCACCTCCAGCCCCATATCCGTGAACCGCGACATCACCTTACTCAGCGTCTGCGGCGACGGCGTCTTGCCGACCTCGAGATGCGCCTGCAGACCCAGCCCGTCGATCTTCACGCCCGCGGCTTTGAGGTCCTGCACGATCTTGACCGCGCCGTCCGTCTTTTTGGAGTTGAACTCGAGGCTGAAGTCGTTGTAGTACAGCTTCGCGGCGGGGTCCGCGGCCGCGGCGGCGCGGAAGGAGATGGGGATGAAGTCTTGCCCGAGGGTGCGCGAGAAGACGCTGTCGCGGAGCGTGCCGTTGTCTGCGAGGGCTTCGTTGACGACGTCCCAGGAGTAGCAGGCGCCGGCGAAGTGGGAGACGGTGTTGGAGATGTAGGCTTCGATTACGGGGGTGAGGGTCTCGGGGGTCCATGTGCCTTGGGATACTGCGCCTTCGTCAACAAAGCGTTCACGCGCAACGTTTTCCGAGAGGAAATGCTTACCGAATGAAGGGAGCTGAGAGTGCCATGTCAACGCATGGCACCTCATCATCTGTTTGTTGGCTTGTCCGACGGCGCGGACAGCATCGGGGTTCGTGAAGGTGAACTGCCCCTGCGTCTTCTCCGTCGCGTCCCACTTCTGGCTGTTCTCCGGCACGACCAGCCCGAACTCCCCGGTGCGGTTGAGCACGGCCATGTACGCCGCGTCATTGAACAGGTTCGTGTCCGTCGCGGTCCCGAAGAAGAGCTTGCCGTTCTTGACGGCCAGGTCGTGAAGGCCCTGCCCGGAGGCGAAGGCGCCCCAGAGAGACAAGAGAGCGAGTGTGGAGCGTTTGGCCATCATGCGCGGCATGTAAGGCAAAGGAGCGGCTGGGGTAAGTTGCGATGAAAGAAGGTGAGAGGGAGGGTTTGTTATTCGATGCGCCGTCTCAAGAGGCGGGCACAGACTGGACATATAGTGTTCGCCGGTTGGCAGCTCCCGAGACGTGGGGCAGAGGCTCAAGATTTGATCGGATGTTTTGCGATGTAACTGTACCGGACCGGGGGTTCTATCGTGAGAGGTAAGGGTCGCTGGGTGGTCTGTTGGTGATTCAGATTGCGTTTCAGGACCGCCCGAACTCGATGGATTGGGACGGTTTGGTAATGTTGGTTCATGCTTGCAGAGGAGCAAGGACTGGGACTTCTGGAGGTTTGCTTTGGTTGGTCGCTGGCCGTAGCTTGGTGGGAGCCGCTCGTAGAGCCATAGGCGTGGTCCGGCGCGGTGCGGCCTACCGACCGGACTTTCAGACCGGGTGGGGCCGGGTCGGATGTCAGCGGGATCCACTCAAACCGTTCGGTCCCGCGCCGGAGAACGGCCGAACCAACACCGAACCAGCCATCCATTTGACAACCGCAAGGCGAATTTTAGCGTCAAACGGTGATTGGGCTCTGATTGGTTACTCGATTTGTTAACTGGGCACTTTCTGAGGAGGCCTTATTCGCCAAAATACCCTGTTGATCAGCAGCACTAAAAGGCGTAGTTGCGGTCGTCAAATGGATGGCCATTGTCAGTCACACATGAGGTATGAAAAAAGCAAAGAAAAAAAGTTCGATTGGGAAAAATACGAACCAAGTCTAGCAATACGCACTGCATGACGGCCTGCTGTTGGAAAAGAAGGCTGACTTCGCATGGTCAAGCCGTCCATCTTGTTGATATTCATGCGGTATCTAGGAAAACATCACTCGGCTCCGCTTAGACACTCTCGGTTCAGTTTGAAAAAGTCCATTCTGCCGGGACGTATACGCTAATCGACCGGACTCGGAGTCGTCGTAATGTGGGACAGAACGCCGATGTGGGTCACCGAACGCCGCTCCAGGCCTGTCCAGCTGCGTCGGCGATATCATGCCAGACAAGCTTGCCTGGCACCGCACAAGCTTTTCGCTTTCCCGATTTCCCGGCGGTAAACAGCAGCTTTTGCATGCCCCGTTTCCACGTCGGGCGCAGCCCGACCACACAATCTGCGAGTCCCTCGGGTCCATGTCATCGGCAACTACCGACACGTGGCCCCCGCCCCCTGACCCCTGACTGTCAGTCTGCCGTCAAATTTCGGGGACTTAAGCATCGCGATGCCAGATGCTCTTCTGCATGATCCAACACCTAGCACGATATCCGAGTTGAACTTGAAGTGGTTCAGTAACTTGCTGCATGTTGCTGGCTTCTGCACTGCGTCCATATGCTAACTCATCCATCATCAACTCCCAATTCCGTAAATCCGGTCAACGTGGAGATCTCGGGTAGCTTCACCCACAACCCTTCAGAGACTGGGGTGCCAAGACCCATCAGCCAGCCCTCGACACCACCATCACGGTTCGGATTTTTCCTCTTGTCTCCACCGATCGGGCTGTCACTCATATGGCTGACGCAGAATATCTCCATCACTGCCGGCCGGCACTTGGGAACCCCCTGCCACCAGCGTGCATCATTGCCCGTTCTTCCCACTCGAGTGGGGGATCACTATCCCCGTCGCACATCAGCTTGATGAGTGGTTTGTTTGCATGGCCTCTCCCATCTAGACTCATCACCCATCTAGACTCATCAGACGAACAGTTGTTTCCATACACCAGTGGAGATCCTTTCCCTCTTGCGCACCCGCCGGTCGGCGTGATTGGAAGACAGGCCCATGCTTTCTCTAAATAAGGACGCGTCGTCAGGACGCTCGCGATGGGGCCCGGCTTGATGCGGTGATGCCGTTCATCCCATCTGCGCTGCGTATTGTCTCATGACTTCTCGTCTTACAACGCCGCCGCAGCAGCTTGCTTTCGCACCTTCCCCTCGGCGCTTTACACATCATAAGGCCAGCGGTCAATTTCCGTCCTCATGGAGTCGGCGCCAGCGTGCGCGGATTCCGTACCCGGAGACCGTCACCAGCGGCGACTGCGCCGAGTAAGGCGCTCTAGGCCAGAGGTGAACGGGGCGGGTGGACACCGCTCGTCGTAAGCTTGGCACCACTTTTCGGCCATCCCCCTTGCCCACGGGCATTGTTTCTTGGTTGACCTGAAGGCGCAGCTTTTCCGATTGAACGGTTGAGAATGTTTATAATAGGGGCTTGGCATGCTTGTTGCTTTCTAGAAGGTTTATCTACTCACGCTGTCCCAGCTGCCTGGCTTCCTTCGTCTTTGCAGTGCACTCGCCCATCCCAAGCAGCCTTTCATTACTCACTCACAGTCTTTACCCTGCCGCGTCTCTTTTTAAGCATAGTGAGTAAACACTAACGCTTATCGACCATGTACCGCCCATCAACGGCCTGGGCTTTGGCCATCCTCACCTATGTGACTGGCACCCTGGCTGCTGATGCTTCGGCCAACTACACTGAGCAGCTCTTGAGCTCAGGCACAAGTACGTCTTGCTTCCGTTTCTGACTCAGTTTTTCCCTCCGAGTGATTCTCATATTCATTCCCGCAGTCAAGCTTGGAGCCTGGCAGGATGCCTACGATAAGGCCGCAGCCCTCGTCGCCACTCTGACCACGGACGAAAAGATCTCCATCGCTGCCGGTGGCGACGGCGGCAACTTCACCGGCCTTCACAACCTCGACTCGGCCACCAACCCGCTTACCTACTTCTATGTCACAACATGGCCCGCCGGCCTCGCGATGGCAATGACGTGGGACACGGCCGCGGCTGAAGGCCAGGGCCAGGGCGTCGGTGTCGAGTTCAAGGGCAAGGGTATCAACATGGCGTATGGACCTACCTTGGAGCCTCTAGGCCGCTCAGCATGGGGCGGACGTACCGGCGAGACGTACGGCGTTGACAGCTACCAAGCCGGCATCATGGCCGGAGCAGTCGTCAAGGGCATGTCTTCGGCTGGTGTGGTCGCCAGTGCCAAGCACTTCATCCTGAACGAACAGGAGACTAACCGAATGAGCACCGGCTCTGGAGGCGGTATGGGTGGCGGATCGCCTCCTGATGGCGCCGGACCAGGCGGCAACTCAACTCTCACCAGACGCCAGACCTCAACAAACGGCACGACCAGCGGCAACTCGACCTCCTCAGATGACACCGGCGCCTACACCGTCACCATCTCAGACAAGGCCTTCCACGAAACATATCTCTGGCCCTTCTACGACACCGTCTACAACGGCATGGGCGGCGCCATGTGCGCCATGAACAAGGTCAACGGCACCTACTCCTGCGAGAGCCAGGACCTCCTCGCCAAGTACCTCAAGGTCGAGCTCGGCTTCCCCGGCATCGTCCACGCCGACGTCAGCGCCCAGAAGACGGGCATCAACGCCGCCAACGCCGGCATGGACCTCTCCTCCAGCTCCTACTTCTCCAACACCACCCTCGGCGCAGGCCTCAACAACGGCAGCTTCACGATGGACCGCCTCGACGATATGGCCATCCGCAACATGATGGGCTACTTCCACCTCGGCCAGGACCAGGGCTACCCCGCCCACGCCGGCGTCACCGACCGCGTCGACAACCGCGGCAACCACAGCGCCATGGCCCGCGAGTATGCCGCGAGCTCCATCGCCCTGCTCAAGAACACCAACAACGCGCTGCCCCTCGTCAACAAGTCCAGCATCAGTATCTTCGGGTTCCACGCCGGCCCACGCTACGTCGGCGCCAACACCGCGCTGGGAGTCTACGACGGCGAGCCGTCCACGATGCAGGGCCACATGGCCGTCGTAGGCGGCTCCGCCATGGGCTCGCTGTCGTACCTCAGCACGCCCCTGCAGCTCTTCAACCAGCGCGCCGCCGCCGACGGCTTCATGCTGAGGTGGTGGCTCAACGACACCTCCGAGACGTCCTTCAGCGGCATGTCAGGCTCCGGCACGGAGCTGACCGAATCCACGACCGGCGTGGCTGACCTCTCGGACGCGTGCGTCGTCTTCCTCAACGCGTGGGGCGGCGAGGGCGCCGACCGCACGGAGCTTACCAACGCGGACCAGGACACCTTGGTCACGACTGTCGCGGATGTGTGCAACAACACCATTGTCGTGATCAACACCGTCGGCCCGCGTCTAGTGGACGCCTGGATCGAGCACGAGAACGTCACTGGTGTGCTGTACGGCGGTGCCCTGGGCCAGGAGTCCGGAAACGCCATCGACGACGTCCTTTTCGGCGCCGTCAACCCTTCTGGAAGACTAGTGCACACCATCGCCAAGAACGAGAGCGACTACAACCCCGACACGATCATCAGCGAGACGGAGCTGAACCTGGACTTCTCGGACGGCAACTACATTGACTACAAGTACTTCGACTACTACAACGTCACCCCTCGCTACGAGTACGGATACGGTCTGTCGTACACAACTTTCGAATACTCTTTCACCGCCACTGTCGAGTCTTCCAACCTCACCAGCGGCTTCGCCACCGGCGACAAGTCCGTCGGTGGACGCGAGGATCTCTGGGACATTGTGGCCACCGTGTCCACCAGCATATCCAACACGGGCTCCGTCGCCGGCGCCGAGGTTGCCCAGCTCTACATCTCTTTTCCCGACCTCGCTGGAGAGCCTGTCAGACAGCTGCGTGGCTTCCAAAAGGTGACAATTCAGCCTGGCGAGAGCGCCGATGTGACGTTCTCCCTTAGACGTAGAGATTTGAGTGTGTGGGATGTTTTTGGCCAAGAGTGGAAGGTGGAGAGCGGAGAGTACAAGCTGTACGTCGGTGCGAGCAGCAGAGACTTCAAGGCGCAGACGAACTTGACTGTTGCTTGAGCGAACAAAACATATTTCCTGTTCATAGTTGTATTGGCGCTTCGTATATAAGCATACCTCGGAAATCCAGGCCAGTTACTTTACGATATGCAGCATTGTTAGAACACAACTGCAGTGACTAATTTTATATTAGGTGTTACCAAA